GCGCCTGCGCCTTGGGGGGAAGGGCAGGCCTCCTGGGAGCGGGGGCGGGGCCTGCGCTCCGCGCGGGTGCCCTAAAATGGCGGCGCGGGTTGAATAAGCGGGGCAGCACCGTGGTGTCCGCAGGGAAATGTGGGAATGACCGCGTTAATCCGGGACAGGGCGCGAAGCGAAGGCGGGCGAGTTGCGTGAGCAGCCGCTGTCTCGGGGTGACGGGCGCCGCCTTGGCTCGGGAGAACAAGTCCCCTGTGGGGAGGACAGCCCTGACTATGCGAGGGAGCACGTAGCCGTGTGGAAACTCGGAGTGGAGCGGGAGGAATCCCGCAGGTGAAGTGTGCTGGCGCTGCGTGTCCCAATGCTGCGTGCACCGGCCTGGCCAGTGCGATGCCCGCACAGGTATCTCCTCATCGCAGGAGGGATCACTGTCCCCCAGGGAGCTGTTCTAGGTGGGCTTTTCCTGACCCTGTTGGGTCTGGTAACCCGCTCTACAAATTCATCCTGAGCGTTTTTAAATCTGAATGCAAAAATTGGAAGCAGAGAGAAGCTTTTTTTTTTCTCTCTCTCCAGACCTTTGAAACCAAAGCTCTCAGAACTAACTTAAGAAACATTTGTATTACTCATAATTGAAATTAAGCCCAACCCAATTAAAAAACAGTGATTTTTTTCTCTATCTGGAATTTCCCCTAGGAGAAAATATAGCCCTCATTAAGAGTAACTATTTGTGAACTCAGAACGAGCTTATCTTAAGCACACTCAAAAAAAAAAAAAAAAGTTTACTCATATCTAATGTGACTATACCCCAAAAATAGTATAGCCAAAGATCCTTGCTTTAAATTTTAAGTCAGCTTTAGATACTTACAAGTACTGTCATAACAGTAAAGGTCCTTGAGAGCTTTTAATACCAAAGTTGTTTCCTGTCACTAGTAACTGCCAAAAATGTCACTTCAGACTGACATTTTCTGAGCTGTGAGGTGAAGAAAACCTAATAATACCCTTCAGGATTCAGATTAAAATTTTTATTGCAACAGACAAAAAGTCTCATGATATTTTCACATTGTCCAAAATAAGCCTCAAATCTTAATTTCCAGTTTGTGACTTGGATGTGTACCACTGGCTTTTATCTGTGTTTTTGATACTCCTGCGCTATGTAGTTTTTTTAAGCGTCAATAAAGTTCTTTGACCTTGTCCAAGTGCACAGGATTGAAAGATTAAAGTTACTCTTCTGAAAAACTACACAGCTTCTTCTTGCTGATTCAAAATAAGCTGGTCAGCGGGACTTCCCTCATGTCTCACTAGTACTTAGAAATTGAACTGAACCAGATGGAAAATGGCAATAGGTATTGAGGCCAGATTAATTTGGATTTTATAGTATAAAACGAATCACAGAAGGTTAGCATCACGACCCAAATTCTAATAGTTTTCTAACAGTATAATAGCTTACCAAGTACTGACACTAAGAGCAGATCAATTTATTTATCTGTCCAAGACAACAGGCACAGCTTATTTGATTCTCAAGAGTTACTTGTGACAAAATGGCGTTGCTGCACCTGTGCTGCCAAACAACCCTCCCCTTCCTCCCTTGTTAACAAAGTAGATCCCTTGGGTAGAAGGTCTCAGACCGTTCTGCTCAGATCAGGACCATTCCAGTATAAATACACATAATAGGCAAATCAAAACCATATTGCAGGGTGCAGCGTCGCGCTGCCCCGCAACCCAGCAGCCCCGGTGCCTGCAGGATGTTGGTCAGAGTTGGGCGCTCACCAGAGACCGTTTTCCACCCCAGGCTCCCCAGGGCTGCTGACACCCTGCTTCTAAGTGCAGCCACCTTCTGCATCCTCTGGCAGGGCTACCTGAGGCTCTAAGACACTCAGGGATTATTTTATAAATAGCAGTGCTACTGCCTTTTATTATTTTTTTATACATGTACTTTCATTCTCATGTTTTGCAGAATCTTCTGTGGTCTTACTCTTAACAACATTCATCTTCAGTTTTACCTTTACTTATTGCATAAATGAGCCTGACCACGCAGAAATTACAGCTTGTTGAGAGCTACTTTCACTCTAAACTCAAACTTCACCCGCTGAAAGGGCTCCCTCCGGGCGGCTGGATACCCGCGTAGGGAGCGAGGCTTTGTTCCCCTCGTGTTTTCCGCGGCTCGGCCGTGGCGCGGGAGCACGGCGGGACGGGCCGGGCCCGCAGGCCCCGCTGCCGGGAGGCGCGGCGGGG